AATTAAAGATGTATTGTTGGTCCTTATAACTCTAATTCTCTCAATTAAAGATGTATTGTTGGTCCCTATAACTCTAATTCTCTCAATTAAAGATGTATTGTTGGTCCCTATAACTCTAATTCTCTCAATTAAAGATGTATTGTTGTTCCCTATAACTCTAATTCTCTCAATTAAAGATGTATTGTTGGTCCCTATAACTCTAATTTTCTCAATTAAAGATGTATTGTTGGTCCCTATAACTCTAATTCTCTCAATTAAAGATGTATTGTTGGTCCCTATAATTCTAATTCTCTCAATTAAAGATGTGATGTTGGTCCCTATAACTCTAATTCTCTCAATTAAAGATGTATTGTTGGTCCCTATAACTCTAGTTCTCTCAATTAAAGATGTATTGTTGGTCCCTATAACTTGTTCTATCTAGTGAATTATGGTGTTTGAACTGGCTTATTCCTTTCCACATTTTTTCTAACTCTACGAGCGTACAAATGTTCTGTATCGTTTTACATCACAATAATTCCATCTGACAAGAATTTCTTTTGTAATTTAATAAATATTCTCTATCATACCAGGAAGCTACGTCTAATGTTGGAAGTGAAAGTAACGATCACGAGGGAGGAGGAGAGCCACCTAATGAAGAAGAAAGGAATTATCCCGCGGTGACAACCACTATTAAAGGTAAAAAACTTATGATGAGAAGAAAACAAGAAAGCCTTTTGAAAACATTAAAATAAGTAAACAAATAAATAATAATAATAAATACACGTAAATCATAATTTTGAAATAACAATTATGAAAAGATAAATAAAAATGTATCTAATTTAATGCGGCTTTAAAATAAGGTTCTTCCCACTGTCATTGAGAGGTGGCGTAAAGGCAAAAACGGCGTCATCAAAATGACAGAGGAAGACATTAAAACATCTCTGCATCATCATCAAACTCGTCTTCGAGCAGAGAAAGTAAAGACGTGTAATTCATTTTCCGCCATTTTGGAAATGCTGACTTCCTGTTCTGATTCACTCAATTCATCTACAAGAAACAACAAAAACAACATCCAGAAGATGTTCGGAATAAGCCTAAAATTTTCAGTACTTAATATTCAGGCCTGGGGCATTTAATAAGATATTATCCCATTCTTCACCACTATACAGATTATTCTGTGCAGAAGTTGAGATACAAAATTGGTGCGATAGTTCGAGAATCAGCATAAACAGTACGAAGCAGGAGCAATGAAGGCAAAGAAGGAGGAGAGAAAGATCAGGCCTACTTTATTCATGAGCATCGTCTTACAAACCATGGAGTACGAAGCAGGAGCAATGAAGGCAAAAAAGGAGGAGAGAAAGATCAGGCCTACTTTATTCATGAGTATCGTCTTACAAACCATGGAGTATGAAGCAGGACCAATGAAGGCACGGAAGGCCTACTTTATTCATGAGTATCGTCTTACAAGCCATGGAGTACGAAGCAGGACCAATGAAGGCACAGAAGGCCTACTTTATTCATAAGTATCGTCTTACAAACCATGGAATACGAAGCAGGAGCAAGGTAGGCAAAGAAGAAGGAGAGAAAGATCAGACCTACTTTATTCATGAGTATCGCTTTACAAGTTACAAATCACTCCCCAAATTTAACTGAAAGATTTTCCTCAAAAAATTGCGTTTAAAATACTTATTTTTCTATATTTTTTACAGTTCGATTAAAATTTTCCTTATATTTTCACACGACTTAGTCTTCGGACTTACAACACTAGTAACCGGGTTTCGATACCCGTGGTGGGCAGAGTACAGACAGCCCATTGTGTAGCTTTGTGCTTAATTACAAACAAACCAAACCTATTTATAATTCGCAGTGACTTCTTTCCCTCAAACACTCAGCTCAAGACGAAAAGTGGAATGAAGGATTACAAGAGGCTCCACCTAGCAAAAAACATGGAACTTCCCCGATAGAGATACCCGCTGACATGAGTGATATACAACGAGAGAATGGACACGTGACGTGGCCACAGGAAGAACCAATCAACATGATCAAAACCATTAACTGCTCATCTTTCCAACAAGTAGTAAGTTCCTCCGTGACCATAGAAATTATTAAAACAAAGAAAAGACGGTTTAAGTATAATACATATATACAGAAAGGATATAATGAGAAAGGTTGTTAATTTAACGAAAACTAAGAAAAATGTGTCTTTATGAACAGTGAAAACACCCATAACGATCTTAATAGTTTCAGTATTATATAACACTGAACAAATAATGTTCTCTTTTTCACTAAACTGTTAAAATCTCATTTTAATACATGCGCGAACGAATAATTCTGTTATAGCTTTATAAAGATTTATTTTTTTATTTGCACGAGCTTTTTCTTTAAAACAAAGTTTGAGATTTGCCTTTTACTCTGCAACTTCAGAGCTCAGGGAGCATCAGTGAAGTTCGTGAAACTTCGGCAACACCTGATGGAACAAAGGAGGATGAAGACGACGAAGATGATGATGATTCAGACAAGATAGACGCGTATGATCCCGAAAGATTAAAAGCTTTTAACGTAAGAAGGAAAGAAACACTAAAATATTATATCGATGTTTGTTTGTTTTGTTTTTGTTGAATTTTGCGCAAAGCTACACGGGGGCTATCTGCGCTAGCCGTCCCTAATTTAGTAGTGTA